GGAACCCCAACTCAATTTTCCATAATCTTCCAAATCCACAATAAATTGTGTCCATTTGGAGTAGATAGTATTATCGCTTTTGTTAGGGAATAAAACTTGCCCGATGAGTAGTAGGATATAAATACGAGCATGTCTAATTTTATACTCTTCGGGTGACTCCTCGGTTGGTGGTTCATATTGGTACATGTCTTTAAGCCATGTCAACCTCGCAGTCATTTCTTTATCAGTTTGTGGTTGTTCATCCCTTAAAATAGAACTCCATGCATCAACACCTAGCTCGGTTAGACCATTTACCACTTTACCATCTACAGGAATCCCCAATAACATACTTACATCTTCCAACATAATTGTGCATTCACCGTTTGAAAGATGAAATGTATGAGTTTTGGGTCTCCACCGTTCTAGTAAGGCTATGATTAACCTTGAATCGATGTGTGTGGACCCCATTGTATATACATGGTAGAAACCAGATTGGTGTAGGTAAGGAATTATGACTGCATGTGGCTTTAGAGGTTTGTGAGCTCGAATTCTCCATTTTAAAATATAAGTATCATCAAACTATAATAAAAATAAATAATATAGAAAAATATCCAACATTACTATGCAACAAAATTTTAATAACAAAAATAATATTGTAAGCTCAAAAATTAATAATATTAATAATATTGAAAGAATAAAAAAACTTACAACATTTATATTTTCCACTGTTCCCCTATGTTGTGTACCATACCAAAATATATTGGCCATAATTGTGAAAATGAAGAACTGATTGAAGACTTATCAAAAGAGAGTAGAGAGTATGTAGTGAATATAATGAAGTGTGTTTGTTGAAAAATGAGGTGAGAGTGATTGAGTGTTTATAGGAAAAATTTGAGAGTAATGATAGTTGGTTGATAGTTAAATAATTTAATTAAATGTGGTTGGTAGGTAGTTGAGTAATTTAATTAGAGTTGGTAGGTAGTTGGATAATTTAATAAAATTTGAATAAATACAAATTTGTATATTTATTGAGAATATTGTAAGTTACATGGTTTTGTACACAACGATAAAACTTCATCGGCTGATATACTGAATCTAACATACGACTCAAACGGTGTCTTATTAACACTAATTCAAAAATCCTCAAACATGTTAAATACATTTGTATCTGTAACTAACTTTGTAATATGTTGCATCAACACTCTATTTTTGTTGATTGTAGCCCGGTTGAAAGATATCTCTGTAATGCTCTTATTAATATCTGTGACTTGACGCAATTGATTTTTCAAATGAATGAGTTTAGATCTTTCTATAAGCCGTACAACTAAAGGATTAGAAAATTAGTTTATATAATCAAACATAGTAACCTGTGAATCATATGGAATAATGTATATTGAGCAAAGTATCATAACCATTTTTATGTGAAATCAGAATCATTTTCTGTTGCATTTATATACATGGCACGCATGTTATTCACGCCAACAGCTATGCCCTCACGCCATTTGACATGGCGACTATCAAAGCTTCGCGCCATTTAAGATGTCACGCCTCTAAGCTTCACGCTATTTGAGAAGGCGCGTATGAGAAGGTTCACCCCATTTGAGTTGGCGAGAGTCTATGGTCCACGCCATTTGAGAAGGTTCACGCCATTTGAGATGGCGAGAGCATGCGTGAAATGAATTCAAAATTGTTTTGTTTATTAAGACCAATGCAGTTGTCTCTTGTATCCACACCGCAATTGAATATTACTTCAAACAATGCCACAAAATCATATTTCTCGTCTCTTATATTTTAATGGTAATATTTTTACTGATAATAATATTAGAGTGGTGTTTCAAAATACAGATAAAAAGATCTTTAATATTCATCGAAAAAGTGATTTAGCTCACTTAACGAAAAAAATAGAAGAAACTTTACAATAACATGTAACTTATATTTTTTTATCGATTTCCAATAGTTAATCTAGTTGATCACAATGTCACATACAACACTGCAAAAATCGAAGATGATGAAGATGTCCGTTCAATGCTTCAATTCCACTCAAGGTTTTGCAGTCAACAAACAATGGAGTTGTATATTTGTTTTCAACAGGTGCAAGAAGTATTTCCAACACAATCATCACAAACTCATGCGTATCAACTAAGTCAGGCCTCGCTATAAGAAGAATCTGTCCAAGCACAACATAATGATTCATTCTTTCCCGAAGAGGAAGTTGGTGATGATACTGACTCCGACAATGCCAGACGAATTAATTTGTTTAGTGGGTCCAGTGATGTGTCAGGTAACGATGACAGACAGGAGGCAAACCCGACTCCTATACTTGATCTATACAACCCACCGTATCACTTAAGAAATGTTTCATTTGAGTGTGTGGAACCCATTTAAGTCTTTGAAACCATAGACGAAAGTGAGTCACGTGAAGACTTAAAGATTGGTATGGCGTTTGAAAACAAAGAAGCATGTCTCCATGCAATATCTGAGTATCACATAAAAAATTCTTATACTTTTAAGGTTTGTAAGTCTGATCCGACACGATATTTGATTAAATGTAAAAAGGAGGGATGCAACTTCACATGCAGAGCTTCGTTAAGGGATGGGTGTGGTCAATAGGTTATTGGCAGAATTGGAGGATCACACACTTGCATGTCGACTGCTATATCTCAAGATCACCAAAAGCTTACCTCAAAAATGGTCGCCCATAACATCATACCTCTTATCGACAGTGACACGACAATCAAGGTTAGACATATTATTGCTCATATTTGTACGACTTATGGCTACACCGTATCTTACAAAAAGGCAAGGATTGCAAAGAACAAAGCAGTCAAACATATTTATGGAAATTAGAAGGCCTCTTACAACAACCTTCCACAGTGGTTGCTAGCCATGCAACAATTTCTCCCAGGTACCGTCATAGATCTTGAAACACTTCTTATATATTCAAATGAAGGAACACTGATTGGTGGTGCAAGAATTTTCCATCGCCTTTTTTGGGCCTTTCAACCTTGTATTAGGGGTTTCCCACATTGCAAATCTATAGTGCAGGTAGATGGTACATGGCTATATGCAAAATATAGGGGAACATTGCTCATGGTTGTTGCACAAGATGAGAATGGTAACATTTTTCCAATCGCATATGCATTGGTCGAAGGTGAGACCGGGGGGCTTGGAGTTTCTTTCTGAAAATTTTGAGACTCCATGTCACACCCCAGTCAGGCTTATGTTTGATATCTGATCGACATGAGTCCATTAAGAGTGCATACAATAACCCAGACAATGGCTAGCAGAACCCACCTTCGGTGCATGTGTATTGCATTAGGCACATCACACAAAACTTCATGCGAGCCATCAAGGACAAAAACCTCCGCAAGACAGTTGTTAACGTGGGTAATTTATTCTCTATTTTTAACATGGCATTTAAATATATAGTTCTTTTATATTAATGTTTTTAATGCTTATATGCAGGATATGCACTTAATGAGTCTACATACGCATACTATCGGGAGGAGATCTGCCAAACAAACACAAAGACTATCAATTGGATGGAGAACCTTCCAAGAGAAAAATGGTCGCGAGCTTACGATATATGAGCACAATGGGGTCACATGAGAACCAACCTTGCTGAATCTTTGAACTCAGTGTTGAAGGAAACCCACAACCTACCTATTACATCACTTGTAAAATCAACATACTACAGGATGGAAACGTTGTGGGGGAAGCGAGGAAAGGTTTGGACAAAAAAATTGTCATCGGGAAAGGAATTCACGGATAACTGCATGAAAGGAATTGCAGAAGAAGTAGAAAAATCCCACAGTTATAATGTATTGGCTTTTGACCATGAAAGTCACTATTTCGTGGTCCAAGAGACGGTTAATAATAGGAATTGTCGGTCACTTACTCATTTAAACGTCAACCTCCAAGCACGAACTTGTGATTGTGGAAAATTTCAAACGTTTCATTTGCCTTGCTCACATGCTATTGCGGCTTGTTCTCACATAATCCACGACTATACTAAGTTTATTCCTCATGTGCATAGAGTTATAGATGTCTTCAAAGTTTACATATAAATTTTCATCGGTGTTCCCCAAGAAGATAGATGACCTCTATATTTGGGCGATACTCTTTTGCATGAAATGATACGGCGAAACAAAAAAGATCGCCCAAACAGTACTTGGATTAGAACTGAAATAGACACTGTTGAAAAAATAAAAAGACAATGCAGAATATGTCAACAACCACACATGCGCAAAAAAAGTCCACATCGCCTCAACAATGCAGACCTTTATAACTAATTTTATCGATGTATTATTATTTATAAATACTTTTAATTGTATTTTTTACTTAGTAATTTGATTATAATTGTTAAATGTTATTATTTAATAATAATTTTTATTATTTAATTATAATTGTTAATTTATAATTATTTAAGTTTTTAAATTAATATTTTATTAATTAATTATATAATTAAGTAGTTTATTAAATTATTTATAAATAATTAATAAAATTAAATAATAAAAATAATTATTACAAATAACAAAAAATCAAAAAATAAATTTTAAAAAAATAAATTCCTTTCACGTCATTTCAGACGACGAGTACATGCATCCTATACAAAGGATCCCACATTTGCACCATTTCAGATTTTATTTTCAAGCTGTGTTGTCAAATTTACTCTATTTCTCTTCTTTTTCTTTCTCATATCTTTCACTCTTTCCAAGTTCTTCTATCATCTAAACATACCCTAAAAGTTGGAGAGGCTTAACTTCACATATATCAAATCCATGTTTAGACTGTCTTTTTGCGTGACATGGATCTTCTAGTTGAATCTTACCCCACGACATAGAAACGAAATCATTTGTGTTTTAAATATCTACGTATGATTAAAGAGCTCTAACACAATTGATTCAATGGCAAGGAAAACAAAACCAAAAAGTTTATGAAATAATAAACTATATTATCTAAACTAGCAGTATTGAAAACAAGCGAACACAAGATTTTTACAATCTAAGAAGACAAAACTCTCATTTCCTTCCGCCTCTCTTCACTCCGGTAGCCTTCTTGGCTGGAGACTTAGCACTCTTAAGTTTCACACTCTTCACCGGAGCTTTCTTTGCTGCCACTGCTTTCTTAGGTGTAGACTTCGCAACAACAACTTTCTTCCCTGGTGTCGTCTTTGTCGATGTCTTTGCAACTTTTGCAGGCTTTGGTTTCACAGCTGCTTTCGCCTTAGCAGCAGTTTTAGCCTTGGCAGCAGTTTTGGGCTTGATGGTAGCTTTGGGTTTTGCAGCGGCTTTGGGCTTGGTCGTAACAGATTTTGCCTTTGAAGCAACCTTTGGCTTAACAACAACTTTAGCTTTAGGCTTAGCTACTGGCTTAGCTTTCGCAGCCTTCTTGGCAGCTGGCTTTGCCTTCGGCTTGGCTACTGCTGGCTTCTTAGCCGCTGCAGAAAGCTTGAATGAAGCTTTAACCTTAGAAAGCTTTCCAGAAGCAACGTTCTTCTTCAAGTTTTGAAGCAATAGCTTCTTGAAGTTTCCAGGAATCTGTGTGTGTTTCTCTTCTATGAATTTTGCTATAGCATATTGGCTCGATCCATTCTTCTCCTTCAACGATACAATTGCATCTTTAATCATCTGCAATTCAATTAACAGATCATAAGTCAGATCCAATTGAAACTATAATTCATGACGAAACTGTAAAATTAACCACACGAAGAAATAGAAAACAATGAATTGAATCGAACCTCTTCATAAGTAGGATGTGAAGCGGGGTTTCGTGGTTTCGAAGCTTTCTTAGGCTTGGATTCCTTGGTTTTCTTCGTCTTCTCAGCTTTCGCCTTTGGTTCCTCCACTTTATCCGATACCGGAGGTTCAGCGGTCGCTGGTTCAGGCACGGGTTCAACGACGATAATTGGTTCTTCGGTGGCCATGGAAATAGATTGGAAAGGGAATTGAATTTTGGATGAAGAGAAGAGACTATAGTAGTGGAAATTGAAATACTTGTGTGTGATAATTAGAACGGAAATGGATGATTTAAATAGTGAAGTGTGTGTGGGGGTAATATTTGATTACTTAATTCTAATTGGTTCAGAGAACCCGACAAGGATCAATGCCTTCTCAGCCCTTTGATGGGGATGCTATCAACGGGTTACCTTGATTAGTCGGTGGAGAATATGTAGTGATTTGGGAGGTGTTGGTTGTTTTAGTTGTGTTTTTGAGCTAGATTCATTTGGTCATAACTTGAGTTGTGGTTCATGCATTTGAATGATTTTTGTTACATCTTCTAGGATATTTTATCAGCTTTCTAACGGGTGTTTAATTTTGAAGAATGGATGGGTGGTCTGGGAGAATTTTGGTTTTGAAGGCACAAGGGTCATTATTAGTGTTTTTCATGATCATATCAATATTTTTCTCTTATTCAGGGAATGCTTTCATCATGAATTTGATTAATCCACACTTCTTGAGATAATAGATTAACAGAGAATTCCATTGCATCAAAAATCATGAAAATTCATTGAGTTTTGAATATATAAAAATTGTTAAAAAGACTATTGAAGTTGAACAAAGTCTACTAAACAATCAATGTTGTCAAATACTATTATGTATCAAAATAATGGATACTTTCGGTGGACGGGTCATCAAATCTCAAAGACAGCGGGGTAGGGATAGTGTTATAAGAACCAAGAGATATGGTTCTAAACAATCATTTTACTTTAATATTTTTAAGCCAATAACAATCAAGCAGAGTACGAGGCATTCATCGTTGATTTAAGATTAGCTAGGGAGGCCGGTGTTACCCATTTGTTGGTGCGAACAAACTCTCAGCTAGCTGTTAGCCAAATTACAGAAAGTTACCAGACAAAAGATCCATCACTAATGAAATACTTACAACAACTACTACAAATAGCTAAAGGATTCATTAAGTTAGAAGTATCACATATTCCACGGGAGGAAAATGTTAAGGCTGATCTGCTAGCCCGGCTAACCAGTACTAAAGGGTCGGGGCTTAACAAGTCGGTGATTAAAGAAATGTTGGAAACACCAAGCACGAAAATTAAAGAGGACGTGGTTTTGGAGAACACTTGGGGTTGGATGTCACCCATCATTCAATATCTCATTCTGGATAAGTTGCCAAACGACGAGATGGAAACCCAATGAATTAGAACGATATCTGTCTGATACCTCATGGTGGCCGACCAGTTATATAAATTGGGCCGATCCACACCCATACTGAGATGTATTTCTAAGGAGGAAGGCATACTTATCGTGAAGGAGGTTCACGAAGTTGTGTGTGAAAGACATATCAAAGGAAGGTCATTATCAGGGAAGATACTAAGAGTCAGGTACTATTGGTCGACCACGCTCCATGATTATGATCGGTTTGTCAAACGCTACGAGAAGTGTCAGATTTATGCTCCTTTTATACATTCACCAGTCGAAGTGTTGCATTCGGTAATTCCCCCGTGGTCATTCTACCAGTGGGGATATGACATCCTCGGTCATTTCCTCTTGGCAACAGACCGGCTAAAGTTCTTAATAGTGGAGGTAGATTACTTCATAAAATGGGTCGAAGTTGAGGTTGTATCCCAGATCACAGCCGAAAGGGTGAGACGTTTCTATTGGAGAAATATTATATGTCGTTTCAGTTTACCCGTCATCACTATGTCTGACAATGGCACACAATTTGTGAGTTCGATAATGGTGGAATTTTGTAGACACATCTCCATACGAAACCAATTCATATTGGTGGAGCACCTATAAGAAAACGGTCAAGCAAAATGGCAAACAAGGTTATTCTATCATGAATCAAGAAAAAGGTAGACGAGGCCAAGGGATTGTGGGCTAAACACCTTCATGAGATCCCGTGGGCCAATCACACCACCCATCATTTGAGCACTAAAGAGACTCAATTTCAAATGGTATATGGAGATGGAGCAATGATACCAGATAGGTTCACCAATGTGGCGCATGACAAATTTTGATGACATTCTTAATCGGGAAGGACTAAAGAGCTTAGTTGACTTGCTTGAGGAGGTTAAAGCAACAGCCCACGTCAGAGAGGTAGCGGCAAAGCAAAGAATAGAATGAAGGTTCAACATAATAGTTAGGTTGAGCAATTTCCATGAAGGAGACTTGGTCTTGAAGAAGATTACAGATACAAAGAAGAGGGGAAAGCTTGCACCAAATTGGGAAGGCTCGTACAAGTTTCGGGAGGTACTGAACAATGGGGCGTACAAATTAGAAATTTTGGATGGAAACGAAATGCCTAGGGCTTAGAATGTAGCGAGTCTGAAGTCTTATTATAGTTAAAGTATGTAATGACTTTTAATAAATAAAAATTGTGGGTAGTACTCTTTTCTCTTGCAAGGGAAAGGGTTTTTAATGAGGCACCCCCAATTCATATGCATGTGCGTCACTTTTTTATAAGAACCTAGACGTGTTCCAAGTCAAAGCAGATCAATTCATAATCATCCACTCCGGCTAACAGGTAACTTCTCCTATGGGTAACTCGTCATCAAACGGGTAACCACTCCCCAGGAAAATCAAATAACTCCCCTACATGGAAACTCTTATCTGAACGGGTAATTACTCCCTTGGAAAATTGGGTAACTCCGCTCTGTGGTAACTTCTAGTCGAACGGGTAATCACTCCCCAGGAAAATCAAGTAACTCCCAGCCGAACAGGTAACCGCTCCCCAGGCAAATTGGGTAACTCCATTGCATTATAACTCCCAGTCAAACGTGTAACACCCTCTAAAACCCCGCGGAATAATACGACATAATCATAGTAATATAATCATGCATATCAATCAAGGGTGACATACATAATTCAAAAATCATATTACACACACTTGTCATGCTCAATAACACTTAATTATAAAATCCATGCTTTCCATACACTTCCACATATGCATTTCACAACAGAACATTTTTATTCAAACAAACATAATATCTGAGTCTCATAATAACTTCATTCATTGAATAACTTAGGCATTAAAAGCCATTTCATCACATAGTTCCAATAAAGATAATAAAATAAAAGAGTATACAAATTATCTCTCAAAACATGAATCAAAATCATTCCCAAGTGTTACATAACATCAGAGCACGACTCAAAACCCAAAATGTGGGGAAAAAATAAAGATAACTTCCTTATCTACTCTCCTGCTAGTACCAACTCTAATCTTGAGTACCTGAGCCATGTCATTATAAAACATCATTCCAACAAAAGGGTGAGAATTTACATAATTATCGAAATTATACAATAATATATATTGCATAACATACATGCATAAAGATAAATATTCTCACACTTAAAATGCTTTATAAACATAGCATCACCCAATTAATCATACTATCCACAAGTATACACTCAAAATCCACAGTTTCACAATTACATCAACTTCACATAATACACATAACTTCATATTGGAACATAGACACAATATGACTCAATACAAGACTCAAAAGCAATACTCATACATGTGATACCAATCACTGTTATTTTTATTCGGCTTTTACTTTAAACCGGTTTCATTCCCTAGACCTATAATACACAAAAAGCCCGTTCCCTAAGCTTTCAAACTCTACTCTAGGTTTGGGACAAGTCACTAGTTCCCACAGAAGTAACAAGCATTGCCTCTTGACAATAATGATGCATGTGCAATTTCAACAATCATATGCAATTAAGATCATCCCTCAATCTTAATATACATGCATATATTCCATAATTCATCACAATTAAATTACCACACAATTGAACATACATACATATATTCATGAATTATTTACATACAATTCACTTTCATAGAGTGATTACCCCAAACCATCATAATAACACATTACAATCAATATACAACAATGTTATTACAATCCAACACCAACTCATAAACATACATAAAACACATAAACAAAAATTCATTTTTTCATCAAATAAGCATTCAAAAACCATTTGTTGTACCCCAAAATTTTCCCTCTTCATTCTGATCTTAATTGGCTTATATTTCATTATCATATGTGTGATCGGTGGATCTGGAACTGACTGTTTAACACTGGTTCGCGAAATGTCGCGGAAGCAAGAGTCGCCACCGTCTTTTATTTTCTCCAATCGGAAAGGACAAAAGCACAGAAAAATTCCTTAAAGAGATTGCTCTCGGTTCGGGAGGTAGGTTATAGAAAGGGAAGGTGTTAGCACCCTTTCTATCCATGGTTATCCATGGGCTCTTAGATACTTGCTCATTGTGTTTTCAAAAATGTTTGTTTGCTTTTCAAAAGTGCGTGGGTTCGAAAAAGTTTCTTTGAAAGTTTCAGATCGACTCTTGTATCAGTCCTCAAGAGTGTTTGAAAAATTGTTTTTGAAAGCTTTTTGCAAAGTGTCGGTGTGAAAAGGAGTTTTTGATTTGTTTTGAATTAGAGCAAGTATCTACGAGTCATCTACCTACCCTAAGGAATTAGTCTGTGTAAATATCCTTGAGGTAGTGCCATCCCACCATTGAGAGGTAGGTAGCACCACCGTTGGAGGTGTTCGGGTCAATTCGAGGTTCGGGACATGGTGATCACCGGAGCAATAGGAAGACACCTTAGAAGCTACCCTCATGCCAGGTTCCCGGATCATGAGGACTTACTAAGACATCCTCTACTCGACGATCACCTTTCGAGGTAAGGCAACAGTGAGGCGTACCCTAGGGGTGGTGTGTGCGATTCGTGTGTCAGATTCAATTATCTTTGTCTTGTCATGTTATGAGTGATCTACGCGTTGTTTTTATTTAGGTCCATTCATTCTTGCATGCTTTGTTTAACAGTTAAAAGTTGCGAGGAAAAAGTAAATCTAAAGCTATTACAAATGGCGCGGGTCCACATCGCCAAAATTAACCAGGACCCGATTTGACAGAAAAGTAAAGAATTAAAAGTGCGAGAAGTAATTACAAGGC